CCTTTTAACAAACTCAAGGAACTAGAAGCTTTTAACTGAGGAAGTACTACGGATTGTTGGGATGCTATTGCGATGGCGAAGAATGGAGCCATTTCTGACCATTTCGCCTGAGAAGGTAATGGCTAGTTTCCTTGACGTGCCGTTTATGTCACAAAGACTGTCATAGTTACAGAACAAAAGGTTTAAGTTTGGTACCTGAATAGTAGCCTAAGTAGCGCCTCACCAAGCAAATCTTGCACAGTCGACTGCATATTTGTTTTTAAATAGCGTCTGTTATAACTACATAAGATAAGGCTGAGAGTTGCACCACCGAACTTTGACCATAACTATAACATTATGGTGTTTTTTGTATGGAGTTTAACAGATTTTTGACGTTTGTCAAAGTTAACCTAAGATGGTGCAACCCAGATTTAGTCAAACTGTCGTGTCATGAAGTGAAAGTAGTACAAAAACATAATACCCAGCTGGATCAGAACCAAATGTAGTGTAACGCTAACGACTAAGTCAAATGATCTTGAATCTTATATAGAGAGGGCCTAAGACGTCAAACTGGTTCCATAGAATCCTAAAAAATGTGTATTTCCAATTTTAAACGAAACGTAACAACTCAATAGCGTTCAAGATAAAAGACCCCTCAGACATTTAAGAGTAAAACAAACACTTAAACAACATCGCTTTTAAAATTTCGTGAGGCTCTACAAAATCGTCAGAATTCTTCAGTATTTTTTGTTGTAAATATAAAACGTATTTCCAGCCGCACCTGCCATGATTACGAATCCAGTACAAAATATGGGACCAACGTTTTGAAGGACCATCCAATTTTTCCCTCAGAATCTCTTTGGTTGCTATCGAGCACCGACACAATTAATTTTATTTTATATTCTTTTATTGGTCGCTAACTAAAATGTGTTTATTACATTTAATTTTCTGGGCGGTGATTTTGATTCGATATTTTGTGATAACTTAATTTTGTTATTACAATAAATTAAAAATATCCTTGGACATTTTACATTGCGCCGCTAATCCCAAATTAAGCAAAGCTTGTACCTACTATGGGTACTAGACAATAAAATACATTATTTTCTTTTGATAAGACTGTTAGTGTCATTATTTTTTTAGTTTTTATAGGCCATATTTTTATTCTCTAGCACAATAAACAACAAAGATAACAACATAAAACTAGTCTCACAATCGTTAGGACTTCTTTGTTATTTCTAAAAGTTACGCCTACATCGTTAAGTACTAGACGAAGAAATAAGCTAAATCAAAGCTTTATAAGCGTAGAATATTATAGATTACATTATAGATTACGTTTTGCTTCTTCTGCAGTATTTTTAGCTATACCTAATTACGGTAGGTAATATGGATAAAAATGTGTTTAGTTTGTTTTCCGCGATTGTAATTTGGCGTCAAAGTATAGCGTCTATTACACCATTGACGCTTTGTACGGCGATTTGGGTTTGTCCCTCAAACCCTGTTTTACCACCCTTCCAGTAGTAAACCAAATCGAAGCCATTCCAGATAGACCAGCATTAAAGATTCCACGCCAACGGAGTGTTTAGCCGCGCAATTACTCGGCAAGACGGGAAAAACAAAAGAACCGAATGTTCTAACGCAATTTACCTGCGACAAACGCGCGACAGACGCCCGGGACCGGCGCGATTAGCGGGAATGGGCCCGTAATGATGTTTGCGTCCCTACGGCGTTTAAAGTTCCGCCATCTGATGATTTCGCTCTGGCTGTTGCAGGGTTAACATTACAAAAAAGTCAGTTAACTTTTTTCCGAATAAAAATACGCGTCCTTACTTTTTTCTTCCCAATATTAAAATGAAAATTTTAAACACTGGCAATCTGCCTAATCTAATTAATAAAGATTTGTTTTGTTTTAATATCGTCTATTGAAGAAATAAGTAAGAACATATCAAGATGTCTGCATTAAAAGATACACGTGTAAATAAGTGTATTAAAAGCAACCAATGAATATGTTATTGTTAAACCTGCATAGAACTGCATAACTAAGCAAAAACATTCTATTCATTGAGCAAAAGCGGAACAATTCTTAAAATGGGAGACCGGCTCATCCCACCACTAGCCATTGTTGAAGACCCAGTAATAATCTTGGCCCAAATTCACGTACATGTTTAGCTTACAAATGAAAACTACAGCCGAAAAACAAGGAAGGATTCGCTTTGTATTCACATTAAACGTCTAATACAGTTAATAATTAAAGCTGTTACAGCCGCGGTTTCCTTCCCGTTGATCTAAAATTTTAATTAAATGGAGAGATTGCCTTTATAATGCAGCTACTACATAGAACCCCTTGGGCTCGAAATAACCCTTATAAAAGGAGATTTAGGAAGCTTAATATGAACAGTGAAATAACCAGAAATTGGGTACAAAAAATACATACAATTAATACTTTAATTAATAACACATAAATATTGTGAAAAAAGTTCATAGAATTACATTTTTATTCAATGTTAATTAGAGATCAGAGTTTGACTATCAAAATTAAGTCCTGATAACCGAAAAACTTCTTTCGGTTATTCAATGACTTTAAAATTTTGAGTCAAATAAGCACAAATTCATGGTTTGGTGTATATTAATATTGCTATTTTAATCATTCAGTGACATTTTGACTTTCGAAGAATGTGATTCATAGGGCTCTTGCAATCCTTTGACACAACTGTTTATTTCAAAATCTGACTATTTTAATCTCTAAGTATTGACTTTGATCATTTTGTGCTATCTGGTACAAGGCCCAGATTTTAATCTAGATCTGTCATGTCCTAGGAAACACTGTTAGTAAACATTTTAGACACTTTATTGTTTTGTATTTTGTGAACACAAAAAAGAAGATTGTCGGTTTTGGTTACCCAGTTTTTTTTTAAAAAGTAACATTCGCGACAGATTCAATTTCATGGTCCATAAAAGTACAAAAAAGACAGTGAATCCCGAAATTAAATCTGCCACAAATGTCTAGATCCAGATAAACATTTAGGTAAAGGGATTCGCTTAGTGAAAAAATCACATCTTACGCAATCAAGCAAGTCAATGAAATATCCAAAGCTGCTAGAGTTTTGACTCAACAGGCTTTTATAATTAAAAGCGAAGGCACTACACAAGAAAATCTAAACAACATTTTGGCTCTCATAGATAAGACCAATGGGAAGTTTGCAAATCCACTCGAAACTCAACATTTGATAACTTGCTAAAATTAAATCCTCTTTCGAAAGGAGAAATTGAAACTGTTTCGTTTAATACAAGACGTCTACAAGTTCACGATCCAAAATTTTCAAACCTTTAATGAATGAGCCATGAAAATATATTCAGGGCAGTTTTACTTGAAGTTATAATTAATAACGCACTCTTGGGATTATAAAGGAAGGTTACGACTAAACTTTACAAATTATTAAAGGCTACAGTGAAATAAAATGGCGTAAATTAAAAGATATCAGAATTTATTTTATGAATCATGACTTATCAAGCATTTACCTATTATAGAGTCAAATCCATAGTAAAAGTTCTGTGATCTATTTATTGAAATTATTCTGAACGTAACCTTTTTAATTGAAATTACGTTAGCCCTTTGATCTTCTGATCGTTAGATATTAATTTCGTTGTAAATTCAAATCAAACCATTTTATCTAACTTTACATAATGCATGCAACAGCCTAATCGAACTCTGATAAAGCAATGTTACAATGAATTCCTCATCTCGTTACACATCTACGCATGCATTTAAGCTTGCACGTAGGTATGACGCACGTATTAGATATGATCCGCAATTACTACAAAAGAAAAATAAATAGGTACATTAATTCATTATTAAAGTGAAAAATTCGGAGCACCAAAAGAAAACCCAAGCGTTGAATTTGAATAAATTTGACGGGTCCATATTGGCTCACCTAAAGTTATTTACCCGAAATTGTTCTTCCTAACGATTTTAAATCCGAATGATCACTCTTCCTAAAATTTTTCCTCCTAAAGTTTTCATTCATACTATTTGTAGTGCTACCGGCGATGTTCATAACAGTCATGTTTCCGAAAATTTTAATTAATAATATCATTTATGTAAATATATTTAAACTCCTACTGTTTTTTATCATAACACTTTTATCCCTAAACATTACCATAATATTTTCACTCATACCATAGAATAATAATAAATACTACGTACAGAAGTACGTTCTTCGCGAATAAAACGTAAGGCCACAGTTCTAACCTAACCTAAACCAATAATAATGAATAGACCGATTCGTTTCTGGAACTTGACTGAATGACTGGAGCGGGACTCTGGCTTCGCTCGCTCGGCTCGTGCGTTGTGGTCACAGTTCTAACCTAACCTAAACCAATAATTATGAATAGGACCGATTCGTTTCTGGAACTTGACTGAATAACTGGAGCGCGACTCTGGCTTCGCTCGCTCGGCTCGTGCGTTGTGGTCACAGTTCTAACCTAACCTAAACCAATAATTATGAATAGGACCGATTCGTTTCTGGAACTCGACTGAATGATTGGAGCGGGACTTAAGTATACGTGCTAATGCCAACAAACTTGAACTTTAATATATTGTTAGAGAAAGAAATCTAAACAAAAAAGATATGACTTTGAATAATAGTGTAAAATATGGTTATGTTTAGAAAATCTAGGAGAACAAATAAAAGTGTAATAGATGTTTATTGCTAATGACATTATGAAGTTGAATGATTCGGAATTATGAAAATTAGAGATAGAGTAGTTAGGAATTGTGATTGTTAGGATGAAAAATTTTAGGAAGAACATTTTCGGACTTCCAATTTTCGGAGTTGAAAATTTAGGTGAACTTTGGCGCACCCAAATTTGACACAAAGATCCGAGCCAGCGCAAAGGTAGGTAATCGGATACTAGTAAGTCAGCAATTAGGGAATGAGCCGGCCCTCTAGGGGCATTTAATTTCTGACCCGCAAACGTTTTAATTAAAGGCATCCGTTGGAAAATGGTAAATGAAAACAGGCGGCTATTTGCAAAGACATTTAATAACATCTTTTGGCTGAAAAACATTTCGATAGCGAAAAAACTGTTGTTGGGCTAAAAGGTTTTTCGTTCGAAATGAAGTGTTATCCTGTTATCTCAAAAGAATTTAAAACTTGAGGAACCGACTGCTTCAAGTATTATGTAGGTTTTTAAATTTTAAATTCATTTGATATTTAATGGTTCTATCTTATATGTCACTAGTCATAAGTTACTTCTATCGTAACGCGTATCATAAAGTAGTCAGGTGTTTAGGTATATGTCGGGATCGGAAAATTGACGCGTAGAAGAATATTATGTATTTTTTACTAACTAAAAGTAAGTTACATTACTATTTCTTACTAAACATTTCTTTCTACTTACACGGTGTAAGGAACACGTCGGCACACAATTTTACAATATACAGATTATGTTTCTGAGTGTAAAACAAATTATCATGATTGTTATTTTTCGTGTCGCCAGCGCTAACAATAATGCTACCTTAACATTTTTGTTTAAAAATAGCAAATGTAATAAGATTATTATGACTGTATCCGTAGACTAACGAATAAAAAAAGAAAACAATCACAACATTCGTGTACATAGCAAAAGTACAAATTATAAAGCCAACACTCGCTTTGCAATCTAGTTCAATAAATCACACGCCAACATGTTCCTTACACCCTGTATTGAATTATTCCGGGAACAGTTCGTCGAAAGGCACTTGGTCGAGGAACACTCCCAAGTTCTTCACTACGGCCGAGCTGAGCGCGTTGCAGATGTATGGGCCCACATCAGCCACTATGTCACGCCACACCTCGTTCAGGAGATTGTTGATTTGGTCACCTAAAATTAGAAATATTATATTTAATTTATTACATGCATTATGAGTAAATATAAAAGCTAAAAGTCGTAGGAATAAGGCGGGTTTTCGAGAACTTTTTGGATTACTATTTTGCTCCAGGCATGAATAACTAAGGAGCCGTAGGGTTCTAGGGTCACTTAGACTAAAATGCTCAGATAACATCTTATTTTCATATACCTACATGTGATTCTACTATTAATAGTGTGCTAACTTGGTTGATAAAGAACTAATGATACAGTAATTCATTATTGATTAGTTAAGTCTAGTGTTACTTACAACTATACGTAACTTAAGAGAAGCCTATCTGACTGCTGGCTTGTGAATAAAATATTGTAACTAATGGATATCATTCATCAATGACACATGACTATGACTAAGTTCTAGCTAGATACTTAGCTTATACCTTTCTTACATTAATTTATTGTTCCCAAGAAGAGTGGCGAGAGGCAATTTAAATAGTACGTGCAATATTTTAGTCGGCAATTTTGTTCATCAATAAATATTTTTTCACAGTTCCACACAAAGCCGATACAATTTAATCTTGTTATTAAATGTATTTAAATTTTGTTCACCTTGACAGGTATAAAATGCTTATTTACACGAGTATTATCAAAGTGCCACCCTATATGTAACAGAAAGAATTCGTGTTATCTATGGAAAATTTAGACATTATCCGTAGAATTAAGATCATAATTTCATTTACCTCAAGGAAAAAGTTTTTGCGTAGGAACCGGGTATATGTAAGCTTGGTAGAAGCTACTTGTGTGATTAGGAAACCCTCGGTAGATTGACTTTAGTTGATATTTCATAAATTCGTGTCTAGAAATCTACTCGTAGATTGATTTATAGACAATCCGCCTAATTCAGGCATTACGAACATGTTGTCCATCTATCTATCCACTTTTGCTCGTAAATTGTTCAATTTCATTGTTATCGCCTGTAAATGCCCCTAGCGGGTACTGTGGTGATCCATCATAAATTTTTCGGTCATTTTTGCGGTCATCGTGTTGAGAGCGTCTATAAAATAACTCGGCTCTGAGGGTCAAAGTTTACCAACCTTTTTTCTGTTTACGGAATTATCACTGTATGTTATTTCAAATGGAAATGTGAGATGAACAATTATTATTTTATTTTTCCATTGTTTTGTCATGTTATTTTGTTTTATTTTGTTGTTAGCATATTTTTCATCTACAGATTTAAGTTTGACATTATGTTCATTCGTTTCAGCCAAATGACTTCCACTGTTGGACAAAGGTCTCCACAAGGATAGACATTATATTTATGTGTCGATTACTTTAGAACCATTAAATAAATAAATAAATTAGACTAATTGAACAATACTTTCATACATTAATAAATTAAGTGCTTAGCTTATTGAGAAAAAAATATATGAGCGAATGAAGTGGTGGTAAATCTCATCCAAAAATAAATAAATACTACACAGAAGATGAATGAAGATATAAGAACCATCACCTAACCAAAACATTGCTAGTAAAAATTTTAATCTAATCTAAAATATTTGCCTATAATAAATAGCTCTACCAACAAAACCTAAAATGTAATTGGCACTTTAGCATCTCATGCAAGGTCCTCTCAAGAACAAATCCCATCTTATTAGATGGGAATAGGCCTCCAACCTTCGGTAATCCAATTAATTGTAATATAACTAATTAAGCAAATTAATGGCCCCGATGCGTTATTTAGTGCTAAAGCACAAAGAGCAGATCACTATTTCTGAAATATTTAAATGGAAATTGCTGATTCTAGAAAATTAATTTTGGTCTTTGATCATTATTATTAGCCAGTGTTTTACCTTGAAGTTGATGTAGTAGAAAATCCGAAATCCTAAAAGTACCTATCCATTCCAAAATCTAACTAACCGACCCTTTACACATTCTACTGTTTCATAACTAGTTGAAGTTATGAATGTACTGTGCTAATAATTTGTAACATGACGTAGTTCCTAACATAAGAGTGTGTAAATTGACTTTAACATTTCCCTAGCGGTAAAAGAATCCAGCAAATATTACGTCACGCACCAATTTGCTTATCTCCAAGTAGGTTCTCCAATCTGAAGACGGCTCGCTCCACCTCGTACTTGATGTCGTGTTTTGTGATATTCCAGTGTATTTTGCCGTCCTCCCTCGTTACGTGTTCGTACCACATTTTGACACGGAGATCGGTATTTTCTGGAAAAATTGTATCGTTATGTATACAATCATATTTACTCGTAATAGTAAACGAAGTATGAAAATATCGTCAAATTCATAAACAGCCCAATTTTCTGTTCTATTATACGAGTAGGTATTATTTCTTGAAGATCAATAATAATTGATGTTTTGTTAACTTACTCAGTTTTATAGAAGAATCCCCATTGGATTTGATTGGAACTACCATAAGCTTGCCTGAGAGTTCGTACTTGTTTATTACGTCCAAATTGACTAGAGCTTCCGTTGTTATTATTTTCTTGTCGAAATCAAATCTGAAACGCATTATTTTAGCTAAGGAATGATACAATTAATGATCTAAATTATTGTAAGAAATCAGAAATTACTTGAAAAAACTGCAGTTGAAATAGTAATTTAAATTGATTAAAAAACCATCTGGATAGAACTTTCTCGAATATTTAACGACAGAGCACAACTTTCTGTAGTTCGTTTATTTGGAAATTTTCATCTTGACGGCTTTTGTCCATCTTACTTAATAATAGCATCGTGTTTTAGCGAAATCATTTTTCTCAGAACCACTATAAGAATCATTAGGTCTTTGTAAACAAAGGATTTTCATCTTTTAAACTGAATCAAACTAGGTACCTACTGTTTTAAAGTATGGCTTTGAACCGAAACATCCTTTCTAAAGTTTCAGTTAATTCCTGGAAGTTCTGCCGGATCACTGCGAGTTTTTCACTCCATTACGCCTTTTGTACTTGTTGAATCATGGCTGTGCCTAATTATTTGAGCGCCCTTTAGCTTAAGGTCTTTCATAATATTGGCCGTAATTAAAAGACCCGGCTAATTGTCCGTGAGTCATGACTCCGTCGTTAGGCACATAGTTCATTAAAGAACAGCCAAAAAACAACAAGCAAGTCAATACTAATAAAAACTTATCTAAAAATTAAGATCGTGGTTCTGTTTCAAGCATATTGCACCAATCCGGGGTTTTATTTATCATTCTGTACCTACACTAAATTAGATTTTAAAAGGTAAGTATATTTTTTTAGAACGAGTTAATATTCTGTAAAAGTAAAACAATACGCTATTCAGCATATTACTACATATTAGCACAGTGCGCGTGGAAGCACAGGGTGACACATGAACCAATCACAAAGCTCTATTCAACGCTGTGCGTTCAATTTACTGCTTCACTTAAGCAAGCGTCGTTTGTTAATACGGGCGCAAATTGCCTCCATGGAGGTTCTGTACACCGCGAGCCCCCAGAAATGCTACGAGTTACGACTCACGATAACTAAATCATTATAACTGAAAGGAAGAAAAAGTAAGAAATAATTTCTAAATGATTCTCAATTTCTAAAAAATGATGTTTTTAAACTTTCGTTTCTTACAATAATATAATAATTTGTAATGTAGTGCTGTTCTTCACGGGCTTCATGCCCTGAAATGGCACCAGTGAAAACTGATTTTCACTAATTATACTCAATCATGCCTTCATAACAAAACAATTTAAGTACTTAATGATGTACAGTCGCGGAATGAAAAGGTTCGTCACCTTAGTGTCGGTTTTCGCTTGCTAGGTACTGTAAGAGTCAAACCTGCCAACATAACCGTGCAAGAAACAGTGCTGCTAACATTTAAATAAATATGACGTTTGCTAACGAATAAGGTTTTGCTTGTTTATTTTTCTATCCCATCAGTGCAATGTTACAAAATGTAGTTTTTTTTATTTAATAGATAATGGCAGGTTGAACCAACAAGAAGGTTTTAGTTCAATCATAATAATCTTCTTGACAAGTTACATCGTCAAACAACTTTGATCTGAATAATTTTGAACTTTACTGGCGAACAGTTAAAGATTATTTTCTCTAACTCGAGATTATTCTGTAACATAGTTTCAAAAGGTAATATGTGCTCGCGATTCGTTGAAGGAATCAATTTGAAAACTGACGAACCTTTTCATTCCGTGACTGTACATAGGCAAAATATCTAAACATAATCATAACAAGGTTTGCATTAAAGTAGATATATATGGCCATTTCATAATAAAAAGCTTTGAACTAACTCAATTTCTCTTGAAGTAAAGCAAAAAGTATAAAATAATGAGCTTTTAAAAACATTTTGCAAATTCTTTAGGGATAAATAAACGTAAGGCAATAATAATTTTTGTAAGTTGGTAAGTAACTTGCAATTAATTCTAAATACCATATTGTGTGAAGGTTAAACAACAAAATATCCTAAACCTTTGACAAGAAACTCTATAAGTAGTTGTTGTGTTGCCAAGTGCGGAAATTTACCGCGTTCGCAATGCATGTGGTTTTGTTCTTACGTAATTCGTTATTAATGACTTGCTATTGCATTTTTTTTTAATAATTTGTTAGTTTTTGGCATAGAATGTGGTGAACAAGTAGACGATTTGACGTTGTATAACGATGTCCTTGATAATTATTATCAAGGACATCGTTGACTCAACTCAACACACAAAGCCCGCCGATATACAGCGGCTTGGTGTCGGCGGCTTTAATTCAAAACAATCTTGCCAAATGCTTGTACTTTCTGCGTTGTATGTCGCAGTCAAAGGAAAAACTGCTCTAACAAATGGCTATGTCCTTGAGATGAAGCTTTAGTTGTCTTGATTTCTCGGCTCATTTAATAGAGCTGGATATTTTTAGTTGTCATGTCCCAAATAATAAGAGAGCCCTTATAAACTTTGCGTTGAATAATTACGAATAAAAAATACTTTACATGGAATTGGAAATCGAACAGAAGGAATGAACTCCTGGTTACAAAATAATTAACCGAAACATTTTTCAGGAAGAAAGTGGATGGTTTTATTATTAAAATTATTTTAATTATTTTATACGTTCTTCGTTAATAATAAATTAATACCGACGCAAAATTCTCGAAGTAATGTGTTAACTGAAGTAAAATTTTGCTGAAGTTGAGGTTTGACAAAGGTCAAGTTAATATACTTACCTAAGTCATGATTTTATTATGGCGATAATTTAATTAACCCTCCTTTTAGGCTCCTAAACCAAGAGTTAACTTAATTTCAACTCAATAAAAGCGAAATACCACTCACGGGCTTATTGAGAAATTGGAAGACGCTGAACAACTTTAACATCAACTTAATAATATTCAGTTTTAACCGACTTCAACAAAAAGAGGAGGTTTTTAATTCGGTTGGTATATTTATTTACGTCACTAAGTACCTACTCAAGATTTTATTATTGCTAGAAAGAGATAATATTATTATTAGACAACGGTGAGATAATAGCTGTTTGAAATAAGAAGGGGTTTAAAAAAACCCAACAATTCTTAAAAAAAATACATAGTCTCGTTGCCAGACTTAAAATGTTGCCAATGTGTAAAATGGTCGCCTCAAACAAACTTAGCTCGAATCGAGCCTCGAAGACGAGGCGATGAAGATCGGTAAAGCTAAGAGCGAGATCAAACGTGAAGCTAAAGATCGAACGCGATGGAGGACTGTTGTGGAGGCCCTATGTACCATCTAGGGGACATTATGACCTTAAATAAAATACGTAAAATAACTTACTTCAAATTCTCCAGCTGCATCCCAGCAAGACCGTGGAAATAATTATTTTTGAATACTAATTTCAGCCCATTTTCATTAGGAATGTATACTATCATCTCTTCAACATACACCGGGTCTAAAGATGGCAGGCCTCTACTTGGGTCCCCCAAAGAGAACTGGTGGATTGATTCTCTTGCAGATTTGAGAGCACATTCGTTCACTTCAGGGTCGTTTCTTGAGCATGAATTTATGTATTCAGCTGGAAGATATTCAATTATTTTGTTACGGTTCTGATTACTTGTTCTAAATAATAGAATAATAATACCTACCTATAGATAATACAGTTTTATTTAGGTATTGCAATCTTGCTATTGAATTTTTAAGCTTGCTTTTTAAATTTTAAATATAAGAAAACTAACTAATTTATCTATGTAATAGTTTGTTGTTCTGAATAAAAATAATATTTCTAAGAAAACAAAATGCCCATTAGATTCAACTTATGCTACCATGAGAGCAAATCTCGGGCTGCACTGTTATTTAACTTGGCCTAGCTCTATGAAGATAATAGTTGGAGCTAATCAAAATGGTGCTAGCTGACAAATAAAATATAATAATATGAAAGTTATCTTTCGCGTCTGATAGTCATTTGTTTTATGACTACTTTTGATCAATAGCAAGTTACTTAAGTTCAATTAGTAATAATGAAAATGAGTCAATACTTTGAATCAAAACTGATAGTTAAATGTAACTAAATTAAAACCACTGTAAACGTACTAGGTATCTCCTTTTAAAATTATCTCCACTAATCTAATCTAAAGCACAAGGGTAACTCGCAACGCTACAAAGTTTACTTACGCAGGCCCATTGACGTGACATAACTAATTAAGGCCAACACTGGAAAAGGAAAACTCCACATTTTACGTTGCCCTACAGCGGAATGAATACAGAGTAACCACTCCAGTGGTTTGTCTGGCAGTTTTATAAACACACCAAATTGCAGGTTGCAGGTCCTCATTAGGCTGTGAACAACGCCCCTAAATTAGGGATGTTATGAGTATGTAGTTTCGGTTATGGATACGGTTACGGATATAGTAATAATATTATACCGGTTTCGGTTACGGTTACGGATGTTTTTTTATTTCGGATATCCGAAAGTTTCGGTTACGGTTACGGTTACGGTTACGGATTTTGCTTTAGAATGCAATTTGCAACAGTTATCCAACACGGTTCATTCATGGCCGCACACTTTACATCGAATAAAAAGTAATAATAAATTGATACTAGATGGCATTATACATATAAATCAGGCTGATATGCCTTTACATATTATTATGCTATACCAAAACATAATTTAAGCTGCCTAAATCCGAAACTTTTGAATCGGTTTCGTTTACGGTTACGAATATTTTTTTATTTCGGATATCCGAAAGTTTCGGTTACGGTTAAGGATATCCATAACATCTCTGCCCTAGATTATGTTTGTGAACGTGACGTGGCTGTATGAGAGCTATTAGCTGGGCCCATTCTGTTTCTACGGTTTTATCTCGTTTGCATCGCGGTGTTCGGTGTACATTTCTCGTTTGCGTTCGGAATTGAGGTTTGGGGCGTTTGTGGGAAAATAGATTTTCGGGTACAGTTTTGGCTGTGTCAAAAGGTGTTTAGCTAGAAGAATTAAGCCATGTATTCATTAGGCAACATTTGTAGATAAACACTGTTTATAAACTGTTCATAAACAATGTTTCATAATGTTTCATCATCACTGTAAACAGTTTATAAACAGTCCATAAACATAGGTGACGAAACATTGTTTATTATACATGTTGCCGTGCTTCCCGCTATGAGTGGAGAGCAAGTGTGGACGGCCAAGTTTCAGAAAATAATCTGTATTTATGTTAAACTTGTTTTACACTAGTCATAAATAGTTTATCAACAAATGTTTCCTAATAGTTTAGTTTTAACTTCTTTTGTTTGTTATTCATATGGCATGATTTAAAAGTGTGGTGATTTTGAGGAGCGTCATCAATGATCTTGTCACTCCTTTAATTTTCGTGTCGTACAAATTTGTCAGAGGTGCCAATGTAGAGACGCTTTTCGACTATTTTGTTCTCGTTCTAGTGAATACGACTGAATTTTAACTGATAACTATGAATTTTCCAAATTACTGATAGTCCAGTCAATGAATGCCTTAACGACGGTGTAGAGAAAAATCCGTGGAACACAATTTCTGACCTCGGGACTTTATTTAGCCTAGTTAGGAGGTGAACATAGCAAAAGTCCCCGCCCTTAGCCCTTGAGCCGGCGGAGAGAGGGGGGTTTAAAGGTACCACTTTGCGGTTTTTCGCTTAATCCTCGGAACCTATGCGTCCTAGTGACATGACTACTATGAACCAAATAAACTTATTCAATTTGCTACAGGCGAGACCGTCAAGTTTTTCTATATCGTATATAGTTTTTGCGGCATCTGCTCTAGAAGGTCTGTAAAATTGGAAATTTTATTTTTGTCTTATATGTTCCTATCAGGAGAAAATCGACTAAATCAACATTGAGCAAACACTATAGACATGCAGGAGCATGTTAAGCCTAGTTCTAGGGAGGGGACTGCACCGTGCGTATATTTAGACGAACCAATTGTAGCCACTTTTGACTCCTCATCATTCAAAAACTACTGTGCATTAACACTTCAAATTTAGCTCATGTATTGAGATTTGCAAGATATACATCAGCTTTAAATTTCATAAGTATACCTCAAATGGTTATTTAGGTATTGACGTTCAAAAATCGACATTTAGAACACTAAAATCTATCTATCACCTGTGAAATGTTAAAATTTACTAGCTTTGTATTTACATAACTACCTTTCTGGATGCAAAATTTTAACCTTCGAGGTCATCTGGAAGTGGTTAGAATTTGGTCTATAGGTCAGACGTGTAGATTTTTGGACGTCAATACCTAAAGAACCGTTTAAGGCATATTTATGAAATTTGAAGCTGATGTATATCTTGCAAGTCTCAACATATGAGCCAAATTTGAAGTGTTAATGCACAGTAGTTTTTGAATGATTAGGAGTCAAAAGTGGCTACAATTCTTTCGTCTAAATATACGCACGGTGCAGTCCTCTCCCTGGAACTAGGCTTAACATGCTCCCGCATGTCTATAGTGTTTGCTCAATGTTGATTTAGTCGATTTTCTCCTGATAGGAACATATAAGACAAAAATAAAATTTCCAATTTTACAGACCTTCTAGAGCAGATGCCGCAAACACTATACAAGATATAGAAAAACTTGACGGTCTCGCCTGTAGCAAATTAAATAAGCTTTATTTGGTTCATAGTAGTCATGTCACTAGGACGCATAGTTTCCGAGGATTAAGCGAAAAACCGAAAAGTGTTACCTTTAAACCCCCCCCTCTCCGCCGGCTCAAGGGCTAAGGGCGGGGTCTTTTGCTATGTTCACCTCCTAACTAGGCTAAATAAAGTCCCGAGGTCAGAAATTGTGTTCTACAGTTTTCCATCTATAATGCTTTATTGACTGGACTATGAAAGTTTTCTTGCAACAATTTACTTACTTACTATCCTGTATAAAAGAAAATTGTCATACTTACCCAAAATTTAGGCTGTATTCATAGAAAATAGCATAATGACAATGTATCTTTTGAAATAAGGTAATTTTAAAATGCCTCATCATCATTTAATAAGAAGTACCTAAGTAACGTTTAGTTTGAAATTGTGGCTGCTACTTAATATAACATTACAGGAATCTCTGACGTCATACTTGCTGTAAATTGCATATAATTTTCACGCCATGGTAATTTAACTTTGAAAGGCATTCCTTCAGTCTTTTTACTTTGACCGTTTTCAAAAAAGTCTTCAGAGTTGTTAACTAAAATAGTTATTAATGAAACTACTTAAATTCTTTTTACTAAAATATTTCGTTTTTATGCATTTGATGTAATGAATCTTATACACTTTTGATACAGTGTCAAAGTGGCTCTTTGTTATGGCTCTTATTTTATACCTTAGATGTGTTTTTAGTTGGTAATATTGCAATAAAAAGTATCTATCTTTATTTCTCACTATGCAAGGCATGAGTAGATAATAGCTGTGTTAATAGATCGAGAGATCGATCGATTAGATTTTTATTTAAATGTAATAATGAAATAGGCAGGTATTATTTTGTTAGCTGCAGCCTACACTACGCTACTCATGAATGAAAGGCGTAACTATCGACGTCATGTCGATCTAATTACGTTAATATTTCGCATTATTCTTAGAGATTCCTCGACCTAACTTCGTACACATTTCAATTAAGCCGGGTTCAACTTGTGGAATGTAATGTATCGTGAAATGTAACGTTAATAGTTTGAATTGCACGTAACTTAACGCGAAACCTGATCGTGTGTAACTGAGTGTGTAAAAACTGACGGTCGATACAACAGCACGAACGCTGACCGAGCATTACACGCAGATTCGCGTTACATTACACATTAAATAACGTGACACAATTCTGTACCCGCCTTTATGTGCCTTAAAAGTGCGCTTCTCCGTGGCACATTCGTTGTAACAAAGAGTTTTTAATTAAAAAGGAATTTGCTTGTAGGGGTCATCATTTTTCATGTTCTACTTAAAAAGGCCGCGACGAACAATATTATTTATGACCGCGGAAACACGTCATTTTAAAGGCGACGCAGGATGTTGAAACAACACAGATTAAATAAAAGGCATACAATTTGGCCCGGCCCTTTTCAATTAGGGTTTAAACGATAAAGAGATATTTTGTACTACGGTGAAATTGTTCATTGGTACCTACATTGGNATTAGGCCCAGTTTTGTAATTCGTAGTTAAAATAACAATTTGTCAAATTTTGTTCGCAATGATTAAATATAAATAAAATGCAAACCTTATATTGTTTTATGTGTTATATTTTAAGTTGGAACCAAATAAATGTTTTTCTTTCTTTCTTTCTTTACCCACTTATGTTTGTTTTTAGGCAAGCTAACCATAGTTCAAAAATTGCAATTTGTTGTTATTTAACCATTTGTAATTGATTAGATTTAACTAAGGATAAAAAAAACTGGGCCTAGGGGTAATTTTAAGACCAATATAAATAACTTCTTTCAGCTGTTTGTTTAAAATTGATGCATTTTATGTAAGTAGTATAAAATCAGATTAGACTTTTGAAACAGACTTAGTGAAGCCACGGGCAAAAGGCAGGTTCAGAAACTAATCCCGCCTCTCGTTTCCACTGCTGCAATTCCTGTGCAGCTGCGATTTATAGCTTGAATGCCAATAAAAACTCAACCAGTGAGGGCTAACTAAATGCCGTGCTCACAACATTCAAGTCTGTCACCAGTAGGATTCGAACCCACAACTTCAGCTGGCTATGTACCTAATAAGTAGAACTAACTAAGACATTGGTAATGGATTTCACTGATGTTTATTTTCTTCCATACCGCCTTGCAGTTGCTGTGCACCGCTTGTTTATACCTACCAATTAATCCTCACAATCGTTAATTAAATCTACGCAAACAAGGTCAACATCTATAAATACTAATTATTGCATTATCTTGATCAAAATCAAGTTACATTTACATACGAGTAGGATGTTTCTATATCTTTTTCTTTTCATCTGTATTTATTTTAATTTTCCATGCGTCCTTTAGCGTAGGTATGTCGCTGTGAAATGTTATTACTAAGGAATCGTATAAAGAAATTCGTAACTATTATACGGAAGGCTTTTCCAAAATTTATATGTCTTTCTTGCCAACAAACATCATAAATTAGTGGATGGAATTCCATGGATATAAACCATCCTTAAAAGCGGTTTACTGTTGATTGATCAATTCTATGAAATCATTTTCTGTAGAGCCGTGTTCTTGGATCTATCTTATTTGGACGACCTTTGAGGCACGATGAGGGTCTCAGTCTGTCCACTTTACATCAGGACGTAATATCTGTAATA